GCTTTCAGTCCGCAGGCCGACGCTCTATCCACTGAGCCAAACCGGTTTTGGCAAGGTCCTCAAGCTTTTTAAACGGGGGGCCAGTTCACTGTCCCTCAGACATTCCACACATGCGCACTGCGGGCCCCGGCTGCTACGGCTGCTAAGCAGGACAGGCAGCGGCGGCAAAAACACCTGGCGGACCGGATAAATGTTTTCGGCGGGCCCGCAGGCCGTAGTTTGAGGCCCCCTGGTCTAGACAGTCATGGAGAGCTGATCTGAGCAGTTCACAGAGGAGAGGAGCACACTTCCTGTACCGCGTTCCCCAGCCCAGAAGTCACACCAGGCGCCATCACAGGCCTAGAGGACTGTAGGTGTTTTGATATTTTGGAGCTGAAGGGAGTACTTTACATTTTCAACCAGCCCTATTACTGTTCGAGAGAAACCTGAACTTCAGAGTGGTTCAATGACTCAGAAAATATTCACACCAATATTGGGTGAGATGGGTCTTGCTAATCTAGAAGTAATGCATAAATACAACTGTCCATATATTTAAACCATTATATTATGTTTTCAAAGTCAATAATGTTAAGTTTTATATGTACTGCCTTAGTAGAATCTGGTGGAGAGAGCAGGCATGGATTTCAGAAATTAAAAGTAACAAAAGGCGGGTGGCAATAAATGTCCCCCAAGCGCACACTAATCTTCATGGCCTCACTGTCCAGGTTCGGAGTTCCTGCGCAGCCCAGGCTCTGAGTTCTGAGCTCTAGTGAGCACAGCTCAAGGCTGAGGCTTTAGGGGAGTGTTGCTGTTTGTCCTGGATACAAACTCACTTCTGAACCTAGATCATTTGTGGGGCGAGTGTCTGATAGGAGAAGGTTTGGGGCATTTGCCTTTGTCGTGCATAAGTTAAATTTGCAAATTATAGAATAAAGAGGAGTACAGCTAGTGTCGAGAAGAATTTCTTGCTGACATTGTGTGCATACATTTTGTGTGCATGTGTGTGCATGCATATGGACGTGTGTGTGCATGTATGTGTGTGTTTTGAGTATTGGTAGACAGGAAAAGGCCACAGAACACACTGTTCTCCTCAAAAGTGTTCAAGTATAGACGGCTATGTTTGTTGTAAAGAAGTTTACAAATCACAATTTGTATTAAAGGTTTATAGCTTCCACAAAATCGTCATCTTCACAGCAAGAATTGACACATTTAGCAATATCATCATCACTAATAAAAGCAGACTTAGAACTGGACACTGTAGGAGGAGCGCGATAGCTCTCCCGGCACTTTTGGCTAAAGACAGGAGGAGCGCAATCGCGCTCCCCAGCACTCTAGGGGTTAATATACTACTTACTTAATTCTAAATGAGGTATTTCTTTTTTATCTGTATACTTTATTTTATTTTTTTCCATCACCAATTATCCCTCCTATACCTTCTACCTCCACCCACTCCCTTTCCCCCCACAGTCACCACACTGTGGTCCGTGTCCATAAGTTCTTTCTCTTTTTTTTGCCTTTTTTGCCCAATCACTTAATGTAGTTTTAAATGTTACAAAATAATTAATGATTCTAGACTTTGACACAAAACAAACATTAACTCTCATTCTATTTTTCAACTTTGATTTTTTTTCATGGTAATTTTAAAAGCTTTCTAGCGTCATGTGCATATTTCTGAATTATTCTGTTCTGTATGTGTTTGTTTTGGTAAATCCTTATTAGGAAAATTAATAAAATTTGTTATGGTTGCATTTTATAGGCAGTCTGTGTATTTCATAGGAAATTGTGTGTTATCTTATTTCAAATCTCCCTTGCTAAGCACCCTGAGTATTATCTTCATGGTGAGCTACTACGCAAGAAATGAGGGACAGTGTCTTTTAGAGGATTTATGGTAACGCTGCGGCAGGGAGCTGATCAGGAACAGCGTGGAGAGCCCTCAGGGTCCTTCATTTGCCTGACACACTTCACTGCTGCCCATTAACACTTAGGCTGTTATTGCCATAGACTCAGTTTAATGAGCATCTCTGAGTTCGGAGGTTTGCACCAGAAACAATGGCTTCAACAACTGAGGCACCTCCTCGCTCCACTTTTTATATCCCAGTTTGTCTTTCTTTTGTAAAAAAAATAAAATAAAATAAATCCTCTCTAAGGCAGTCTAGTTTGAAATAATCCGGATATTTTCTTTTCCCATTAGAACAGTCAGTAGTTCCTAACATTGACACAATATTGCAGAGAACCTTGATAGAAAGTCAAGAAATAAATTCTAATTTACATTAATGAAGATAATGTCTTTTGTTATTGTTCTAAAATAAAATGGCGCTGGCATTTGGAGCCACTCTTCTTATCTCCAGATTATAATCTGTTATGAAATAACATTATTTCCAAGAAATAATGACACACCTAAAATATTTCTCACTCATTAAATTTTTTCTTAACTGCATCAAAGTGTTAAAGAAGGCAATAATCTTTAAAATTGGCTGGTAATGGGTCCATCTAAATATTAAGTGCTCTTAGTTTGAGCATCAAACCTAGATATGTATTTAAAACTGTTAAATATCTTGGATTTCAAAGTAAATTAACTAAATGTTTAAAAGCATTGTCTACTTGTCCATTATGGCCTTTCACATCAGCATTTCTGAGTGAAATCATTGACACATTTCTTAATGTGGTTACTATCTTGAAATGTAACTCTTTATTGTAAGTATAATAGCACAGAGGAGGAAGTTCTGGTCAGTCTCACCTCCCTCAGGTAGTTATTATGTTGTTTTGTCCCTTAGAAAATGAACCGGAAGAAGGACTGGTGACATCACATCCCCTTGGCTTCTCTGAACTCCCAGCTCTGACCCACGGGCAGCCAAGTCTGAGCCAAAGAGCATCACCAGGCGACGGAGTCAGGTACCGGCCCCAGCTCCCTGGGGACTGTGCGCGGGCCTCTCCCTGGGCCTCCCCCTGCTGCTCTGCGTCAGGCCTTTCTTCTCAGCTTCCTGGCACTGCCTGGCTTCTGGGAGGCAGTTAAGAGTTCTGTTGTGATCTTCTCCAAACAGATGATTCTCACTCAAAAGAGCCATTTGCAGTTAAATTAGATGATGCATATATTGTTCCTGCCACCGATGCTCCGTGGAGCAGGAAAGCTGTGCATCCCTAGCGCTGTGAGGATCCTTGGGATTGCAGTGGGGAAAATTACACTGGGTCTCACATGGGGCTGTTTTGTGTGGAATCAATGCAAAAGTAGCTGGTTAGCAAAGTTAGTAATTTTAGCAGAGTTTGCTAATTATGTTTTGGAGTTTGGAGCGCATATTGGCTCATGTCAAATGATTGCTGCTGTTCCCAGCTGGTATGGCCCAGTGGTTGAGTGACCACTTATGAGCTAGGAGGTCATGGTTTGATTCCCTGTCAGGGCACATGCCCGGGTTTCGGGCTTGATCCCGTGTGGAGCGTGAAGGAGGCAGCAGATCCATGATTCTCTCTCATCATTGAAGTTTCTCTCTCTCTCCCTCTTCCTTCCTCACTAAAATCAATATTTTAAAAAAATGATTGCTGCCCAGTCAGGATACTTTAGGGAATCTCAGAGGCTGAAGGTCAACACAATTGTAATGTGACTAAACTCCCCCCTGCAAAGTCTCGGCTTCGGAGCATGTGCATGCTGCTGACTGTAGAAGCTCTGTATAGATCCCATGCCCACATTTGGAGTCCATTTTACACGTGACTTTGCTGGTGAAACGGTCCGTTCTTAGGGTGCTCTCTGAGGAAAACTCTGGCATCTTTCAAGGTTCATTTACGCGCCTGCTGAGTACCCATTGGCCTGTCTGATAATACAAGTACTTGCTGCTACATGGAAACCAGATACGGGGTCGTGTTCCATGTGCTGCACCCTCGCGGGCACTGCAGTCTTTAGGAGCTGTATGATCTGGTGTGATAGGTCACAGTCGTTCTGACTGTGTTCTGTCTCTGCCCTTGTCATTGTCCCTGAAGAAAGTCACTGCACTCATTGGTTCGGTTGGAGAAGGCATTATGTTTGTCATTTCCCTGGAGTTAAAAAAGTAAAGTCTGTTCACATTGGGAGTTAAACTCATACCTGAGTTTAACGTCAGTTAAGTTTCTGAGTCGTAGATGTTTCATATATACAGGCTGTCTTGTTTTGTCCACAATCTCATTCATTTTTAGTCATAAGTTAAAGAATGTAATGGAATATTATAAAAATTCAATATTTAAATGCAGATTTGTTGAATTGATGTTTTTGGCATGGAGTTAAATGTCCACATTTAAACGGTTACCAACATGGTTTCATATCGAGCATTCAAATACAAATCTCACCATGAATTAAAATAGCAAAACGAAACAATAGGCTAATTTTCAAAGAAAAATTCATGTTTATACTGGATAATCTTGGCCTTGAATAGGCTTCCTAGTTAAGGCATCACATTTGGTTTTCAAGGTGGACAGACAAGTTGAAGTTGTTGAGAGAAATGAAGAGACCTTAAACCAGGGGTCCTCAAGCTACGGCCCATGGGCCACATGCAAATATAAATCTTGTATTTGTTCCCGTTTTGTTTTTTTACTTCAAAATAAGATATGTGCCATGTGCATAGGAATTTGTTCATAGTTTTTTTTGAACTATAGTCCAGCCCTCCAACAGTCTGAGGGACAGTGAACTGGCTCCCTGTTTAAAGAGTTTGAGGACCCCTGCCTTAAGGCCTCAGCCGGCACTCATCTCCTCCTGTTTGGCACTCCTGACCACAGCCTGTGCACACAGGACCACAGTGTGTCTCTCTTGAACACCCCAAGCAGGCCCTGGAGGTGGCAGACTCTAGGTGTGGCAGGAACTTGACAGTCCCACAGTTACCTTTTAATAACTTTAGTTTTTCCCATAGCTTTGTGATTTCTGAGTACTTCCTCTCCATTCTTTAAAGATTAGGGTGTGGCCTCAGGCATAATCAATATTTATTTGCTGTATGTCATAAATTAGTCCATGGGTGATGAAATAAAAGAATGGATCTAAAGAAACAGATTAGCATTCCAAATGGGAATGCTCATGTGTCATAACAGCGCTTCTGGAAACAAAGTCTAATCTTCACGTGATCCTCTGCACAATGACAACGTGCGAGTCACCATTACTGCCTGGCTCAGGGAGAGCCACCTCTGTAAGGGCAGGTGGTAGATCTCAGCTCTGTGGGCCTGTGGCCTCTGCAGCAGCCTGTGCACACCCCCATTGTCCCAGCAGCCAGGGGCTGGTCCTCTGTACGAGGTCCCAAGAGTGTAAACATCTAAATGAACAGTTCCTGAGTAACTACTGCCATTTTTGGAAAACAGAATGTAACTCTTATCTCTTTTCAAATCTTATTCTTGTGCACTCGCACAATAGAGTCTAAAGTCATTGTCCGCTGGCATGTTGCTCCTGGTGTGTGAGCTCTGTAGTCAGGATTAAGCTGAGACAGAAGGTGCACAGAGCGTATAAGAAAGCTAAAGAGAGCAGGTTTGTCATAGCTCTGAAGTTGGGGCGGCACCCAAGAAACCTGTCATATTGAAAGAAGAGACAATTTTCTAGTCTTTTCATGCCTCAACACTCAGCTGGGACAGGGCTGTGTGGGATGACAAAGGGGAAGGTGGCTTGGGGGCTATAAAGTGTGGTGTGCAGGTCACAGTGAGGCCAGTGAGGGGAACTGTGGAGCCCTTAGCAGCACAGCCTTAAGAGTAGAAAGAAGCTACACAGCCAGCCTCTCAGAGCCTCAGTTTTCCCATCTGCACAATAGGAGAACGTTTTCTGCTGCTGAGCGTTGATGAGGAAGGCATGAAATAAGACACATAACAGAGTGCTTAGTGGCAGGCTTCTTAAATTATAGCTATTGTCATTATTATTCATAAAGAACCAAGATATACTCACTGTGCCATAAAAGATTAATACATAAGTAATCTGATTTACATCTGTGTTATGCTTTCTGCCATTCAAATCAAAGTGCCTCCACTTACCATGCAGATGTGTAAAAAATGAAGACACGCTCTGTGAACTGATATAGAAAGATTTCCAGGATATTTTGTTAAAGAAAAAAGCAAGATGCAGAAGAGGAGCAGAAATATGAACACACATATATTTGCCTGTATTTGCATAACATTTCTAGGATAGACAAGAAGCTGATAGAAATGTTTATATGTATAGTAACTATACAGAAACAGGCAGAATTGAGGGGGGATTTTCATTGTTTGTATTCATTTTTAAATTCTTTTTGAACCATGCAAATATAAAAGGAAGGGGGATGGAATTAGGGGAGGGAGGGAGGGAGGGAGGAAGGAAGGGAAGAAGGAAAGAAGGAAGGAAGGAAAAAGGGCACCAAGGAACTAAGGAGGAAAAGGCAACGAGGGAAGGAAATTAATAAAAGACAGGAGAGAACATCTCCTACCAGTTTCCCTAGTTAACAGTGCATGAGGACCAGACACAATCACCTTTTAACAGCTTTAGTGTTTCCCATTGCTCTTGTCATATTTCATGCAAGCTCTTCTTTCTAAAATCCTCTAATTAAAATTTGTTTTATAAAATGTAAAATAATAAACTATATCATGGATTATTCAATAATAGAGTTATAGTTTAGAAGCCAAAGTTTCAAAATTATTAAAAGAGTTTTCTAAAATAACGTTCAGGAAATAACTATGAAATGACAAAAATATGGAAAAAATAGCTGCAGCCATAAAATAATTTTTAGAATAATAAAGGAAAAGTGATATTATATCTTAGTTACGTTTTATAGAAGATCTACAAAGAACATATTGTGAACAGTTGGGGGAGATGTGAATATGGACTGTATATTTTATGATATGATTGAAACAATTAACTTTCTTTTTGTTACAATTACACTCAGGTTATGTAGGAGAGTTGGTTTGTTCCCACCTCGGAGATAAATGTTGAAGGATTTAGGTGTGAGTAACCATGATATCTGCAACCCCCTTTTAATAACTTTAACATTGCGGATGGATCACGAGAATTCTTGCTTCATATTACACAGTGTTGTACAAAGTATCATACTTTAAAAAGATATTAGCTTGTAAGAACACGTAATAACTTCAAAATGCAATGGCATTTAATTGTAAAGCGCGCCTTTAACATTTATGTGAAACGGTTTTTGTCCTCATTCAATAGAAACTTAGCTGGCCCCTGGGTGAAGCTGGCGATAAAACTCCTGGTCCGCAGTGTGTTCAGACATCTCCAAATGTTCAGGAAAAAGTGTGTGAGAGAGGGAGCGAGGTCACGTGTGTAGTTATGTGTCTCTGTGTGGTGTGTGTGCGTGCATGTGATTCACGTGCCCACCCATACTTGCAGTGTGTATAATATGGCCAAGAAGGCACAAGGTAGCCTCACCACATTTGTTTTTTTAAACATATATTTCTTCACATTCATTTAATGAGGTCACAGATAGAGTGGAATTCAAGAACTCCTTTACCGTTGCAGTGAAGGTAAACTGCCTTTCAGGGGAATTTCCTGAGCCCGCTCCCAGAGCCCCAGCAGAGACGATCCCATTCGTCAGAGCTCCGTTCTGAGCATCCCCTGACCAGCAGTGACTCCCCTTCTGCCCCTTGAGGAAGAGCAGGCCCTGCGATGGAGAGACCTTTCCAAGGCAGCATTTATTCGTGGCAACAACGGCAAATGGATTTTGAGGACAAGGCCCTTTCCACTCTGTGACATGGCCTTGACTTGTTTAGTGCCTAATTAAAGTAAGCCTTCGTATACAGGACACTCAGGAGTGATTTGTGTACGTGGAGATACATTGGCAAAGGCCGAGATACAAGACTTTTCTCCTGAGAAAAGTGTGTTTGCTCTTCTGAAATTTCATCTATCATCAGTCCACAGCTTATCTGTTTCCTCCACATGCTCTGAAATCATAAGGAAAATGTCAGAATTTTGTGAA